CTCTTTACAATCTGGTCTGAATCTAATTTGGTTCAGCCGTTTCGACACTCAGGAGTGATGAATTAAATTACATTTCTTGCTTGTTTTCAGGATTTTATCCGTAAATGTTTGAGTGTAGACCCTAAACACCGTCCTAAAGCGCGTGAGCTTCTCTTCCACCCTGTTCTCTTCGAGGTGCATTCTCTTAAACTCCTAGCAGCACATTCTTTAGTCAAAAATCCAGGTAATATCAGAAGCTTTGAAATTTCATATTTCATTTTAAAAATATCATTTTTGATTTTTAACTTTTGGTATTTACACATTACTTAACAAAAGACTTTTCATTTAAGAATATACGGACTTTTTTATGAAAATTTCCAATCAACCTGAAAATATTTTAAAGAATAAATATGCTAGAAGGTGCCTGCTCTCTTTTTTTGCGCTCCTTATTTTTCCAGGAGGGGACGTTCCTCTCCCCCCCCACACCAACCCACCAAAAATCCGCCTCTGATTGTAAATGCCACTATTAATGAATACTATGTTCTAGGAGCCGAAAGTATGACAGATGAGGCAATACATAAATATTATGGGAATAATACGATCATGGCTTCTCTCAATGTAACTGAGGAGGAGAAGTGCTACCGGTAAATCTAATGTGTTTAAAATAGGGGTGGGGGCAGAGATTTTGTTTAAACGAAGGTTATGACATCTTTTTTACAAAAGAAATTTTTTTACTTCGAATCCTTTTTTGCCGTAAAAAATCACCTTGTAAATGAAACTGATTTAGTGCCTATCTAGCCGCTTAACACTGGGTTACACTGTTGTAGTTAACGGTGACAATACCTTTTTTGTGACTAATTTCGAAGAGTCAGTCAAAATTGTCTCATTTCTTATGTCTAGCACTTTTTAGGTGAATCGAATTATATCATATCAACTCAAATCAATTTTAAAATGAGTTTTTTATATGATCTATTTTTATATGTTTATTTTGATTTTTGGGTGAGATACAGTAATAACCAGAAAAAAATGGAATATGAGAATGAAACTCTATCAAAACTAATTGTATTTGATGTTGTTACAAAGCAAATAGTTCACTAGACAGTTATTAAAGCACTCTTTCAGTAAAATGAGTCTGGTCACACTGTGTCATGTGTCTCATGTTTATTAGATTTTTTAAAAAGTATATCTTGATACTAAAAGACGTGTTCAGAGTTTTCTTGTTCTCACTGTTAACTATTTATCTTTTGATATGTTCCATGTTGGATATGTTCTATTTTGATATGTGTTACGATATGCTTTACTGTTGGATATATTCTGTTTTGCTAGGGTTTGGTTTGATATTTAAAAATTATTTATTTCAAATATTTGCTTTTCTTCCTTTACGCCAAATTTTGGCCGGACAGAAAATAAAGGGAAAAAACAAGCCAATTTTTCTTTAGGATAAATAATAATGTTGATAATTTTGCAAATACAAGGTTATTTAAGGTTTACAAACTATTACCTTTTATATTATAACTTGTAAAAATTCATCTCCAGAGTTCCAATTGAAACTGAATCTGCCTGGAATCTGGATTTGTATACACAGAGTAAATGTCGTATTTTACAACTAATCAAAGCTAAAGAAAATTATTATTATATTGTTTTCAGGATGTTGAAAACCGTCGGATTCAGACAATGCAGTGCTCTATTCAACCTAGTCAAGATAAGAAGGAACCCAATACACTCAGTCTTAGAATACTTCTTAGAATGGAGGTAACAATATTTTTTTAATTAAAAAATATTAAATTTTGAGGGATATAATTACTTCTTTGCGAAATTTTCTCTTTAAAGGGAGTGTTCGCGAAAAATGAAAGGGGGTATAGGCTTAATGCGATAAAAAAGCGCTTTTGATCGCCATTTCTCTTTCCATT